CTAAAAGACAAGATTGAAACTCAACTCAGCTCAGCCCGATTTTATTGTAACTGGTGTTGATCCAAAACTTCTATCGTCTCGCCCAGATCCTTTTGCTTTAGCCTTATTTAAGCACAACACAATTTTGAAAAAAAGTATTCAGATAACAATTAACTCAGCCCCACATGTTTACACTGAGATTCCTTACATAGCACACCTGGCTTCTTTCACAAGAATGGGTACTGTTGACTTAGAGATAGTGCCCAAGATTTAGGGAGCTTGACTGAGATAAACATAATGCCTGTGGGTGTCAGGATCACCTGGCCTGAGATAACATGGAAGTCATGCAGGCTGTTGTAAAGCCCAAACAGCATCACTCATAAGAGTGGATTTTATGATCTAAAAGCAATGCTCAAGAATTACAGGAAAAGGTCTTGGATCAATAAAAACATAAACTCTGGGAGCTAAGAGCAGAGCCTATCTTGTCAGACAGCAAAGGATCATCAGGTTGTAAAACCTCACTCGGTCTTAGTTTGTTCCTTTCTACCACAAAGATAACAGTGTCTTCTGTAAGGTTTAATCAGAAGGTATACTGATACCCTCAGAATGGTGCCTCAGAAGTCTTCCTTCTCCACGACCTCTTCATGTTCTTTTGTTAAATGCTAAACCACACCCTCATGTATTAGTTCTTGTTACTCGATTGCAGTGTGATCTTGAGTCATTATAGTTCCCCCCCTTTTCCTTTGTATTTTGTTTTTGAGACATGGTTTCTTTGTGTAGCTTTGGAGTCTGTCCTGGAACTTACTCTATAGACCAGGATGACTTTGAACTCACAGAGATCTGCCTGCCTCTGTCTTCCCAGTGCTGAGATTAAAGGCATGCACCACCATTACCCATAGTTTCCCCTTTTTAAAACAAGCTGGGTGTGGGGCTGTACTGCTGTGATTGTAGCCAGGGAAGGCTGAGAAAGGAGTTCCATCGTGGGCTACAGAGTGAGTTCAGCAGAGCACTGGCCTACTGTGAATGGAGCCCTGGGTGACATCCCAAGCAATGGATAAACTGGGTGCGGTTCAATCCCTTGTACCACAGGAACTAGACATACACTGTATGTAATGATGTACTAAATTCTGCTTGATTTGTCTCATATATCTGTGTATGTACATACATATATGAGGGGGGAGGAGGAGAGAGACACGTGAAAGCAGGGAAGACTATTCTACAGAAGAAAGGAAGAAAACTGGGAAGATGTGGAAAGAAGAAGCAGAGGAGGGTAGTGGGTGGAAATATGAGATATATATATATATGTATATATGAAAATATAACAAAACTCATTATTTTATTCATGAACTAGAAAAATTAATTAATGAGAATGTATAGTTGAACTAGATACATACGTCTCTAAGTTTACAAAGACAATTGTGGTCCCAATGTTTAATTTTTCACTGCTTAGTATTGTTCTTTAGTGTTCTTGCATTTCTGCTTTCCCATTTCTGATGGGTGGAGACGACAGAGATTTTTCCTTTTGACTTGTGCTAGCTCTGACTTCAGAACTACATGCTTCTGTGGCAGTACCCCTCTCCCATATATCTACACACACGCATGCACGCATGTGTATACAAATATAAACCTGTAGGAGGATATTTTTTTGTATCTTGCTACGGCTTTTCTCAAGTTTAGCAAATTTCTGTTCCCTTTCTGCTCCTCCTGGAGGGGACTACTTATCCAATCTTTACGTCTCAGCCTAGCAATCCCTATAGATAGTAGAATTAGATGATACACTCCACTCACCACTGAGCTGTCAATTTGACAAAAGTAACTATGTCTGTTTGCTTGCTCCAGAGTCATATCCTTGATCCCTTACAGTGCTGGGCATAAGCAATTGATAAATATTTCTTGGTTTTGTTTTTGGTTTCTGAGACAGGGTTTCACTGTAGCCTTGACGCCTGACCAGGCTGGCCTCGAACTCACAGAGATCCGTCTGCCTCTGCCTCCTGAGGGCATGTGCCACCACTGCCCAGCAAAAATTATTTCTTTTATATGCATTGATGCTTTGCCTGCATGCATGTCTTTGTGAGGGTGTCAGATCCCCTGGAACAGGCTTTACAGTCTTGAGCTGCCGTGTAGGTGCTGGGAATTAAGCCTATGTCTTCAGGAAGAGCAGTCAGTGCTCTTACCTGCTGAGCCATCTCTCCAGCCTGAGAAATATTTCTAATATTGATCGTTAGTACCTTTATGCAGTGGAATTTAAAGTCACTATCCATTTTACTTATTTTCAGATGGGTGTTACACTTACCTGTAATCAGCATTAAGGAGTTGGAGGCAGAATTAGCAATTGCAGGACAGCTTGTTGAACATGAAACCCTAGCACAAAACAAAATTAAAGGGCACATTATATTTTAGAGCTTCCCAATTTAAAAATATAAATTATAACCCTGAGTTCACCGATTTTCTAAAATAAGTGTTGGCTTGGGCTAGAATAATACTTCACTGGTCTTAGTTTTAAGAATTCTTTTCCATCAAACTCTGGTTGTCGATATCGTCTCCTTCCAAAGAAAGAAAGCTGGCTTTTGCTGAGGAGATTATTAAATGAGACCACCAGTAAGATCTCATTTAATAATTTTTTTTTTTTCGAGAGAGTTTCTCTGTAGCTTTGGAGCCTGTCCTGGAACTAGCTCTTGTAGATTAGGCTGGCCTCGAACTCACAGAGATCCACCTGCCTCTGCCTTCCGAGTACTGGGATTAAAGGCATGTGCCACCACTGCCTGGCCCCCACTTAACTTTTAACTTGATAAAAGCAAACATTTGGGAAAAAGAAAGTTACTATATAAGGATTGCAAGGTCTGAGTTTTTGATCTTCTCTCACATTAGGGAAAGCAGGCCTTTTCCTTAGATGTATCTACCTCTATCTGTCTGTCTGTCTATCTATGTATCTATTTTTGTGGTATTTCCTGAATGCTAGTGGCAAACTCAATCCCTAGCATTGGGCTACATTCTCAGCCCTCTTATGTTTTATTTTATTTGATACAGCGTTCTTCTATGTATCCAAAAATGACCTAAACTTGTATAGATCCTCTTGCCACTCCCTGTCTCCTGAGTGCTGTGGATAGGTGTGTGTCACCAAGCTCATCTTCTCCCATTAGACTTATTGTAAAAAGATACTTTACAATAATGTACGAGTTTTCCTAAACCTAGCCCTTATTCTATCACCATTTAAAAAAAGCTTTAAAGTGTGTTTTCACCTTAGCCTCCAGCTCCCTAGGTAGCCCAGGATGACCTTAAATTTCTCTCTTGTTATCTCCCCAGAGCTGTCACCTGAGCCCAGTTCATGAGATGCTGGAGATCAAATCCAGGGCTTCACATATGCTAGACAAGTAGATCCGGCTGAATTAAATTCCCAACACCTATGTTCTGTTCACTAATAATTGACTTACACACATATTCTTTGATTGGCTGATTCACATTGCAACCTGCCCCCCACCTGTGGATGTCAAAAGAGGGGGGCTTATCCCAGCTTGTTTGTAGCTCTTGGAACTGAAGGCAGAGCTGCGTGAAAATTGGGTCTTAACTAGTGCGGTGTCTAAGTAGTTGGGTGAAATGAGACCTGTTTTTTGTTTGTTTTCTGTTTTTCTTTTCTTTTCTTTTTTTTTTGGTTTTTCGAGACAGGGTTTCTCCGTGGCTTTGGAGCCTGTCCTGGAACTAGCTCTGTAGACCAGGCTGGTCTCGAACTCACAGAGATCCACCTGACTCTGCCTCCCGAGTGCTGGAATTAAAGGAGTGCGCCACCATCGCCCAGCTTGTTTTTGGTTTTTCGAAACAGGGTTTCTCTGTAGCTTTGGAGTCTGTCCTGGTCTTTTAGACCAGGTTGGTCTTGAACTCACAAGGATCCGCTTGCCTCTGCCTCCCGAGTGCTGGGATTAAAGGTGTGCGCCACCACCGCCCGACCGAGACCTGGTTTTATATTGTTGACTTTTGTCACCTCAATTTGTCCAAATTGCAACATTTAAATTGTACAGAAGCGTTTCCTTGGTATCTCTTGTGAAAATGATTTGGAGTTAATATAGGTTCAACTGATTTGACTATTACCTAGCATAAAGAAAGTACGGCTTATTTACTGTATTGATGGTAATGCAGGATGGCTTTGCTAGACTTTCTCTTGGTGCAAACGTGTGTGTGTGTGTGTGTGTGTGTGTGTGTGTGTTTGTGTGTGAACTATAGAGAAAAAAGACAAGGGGGAATATCTAAAAGCCAGCAGCCTTTCTCCCCTTATCATAAGGATGTAAATCATGTGGAAGGATCCCTAGTACTGAGTGTTTGCTTACATCATGCTAGGGACTGGGAGGACCGCTCCACACGATCTCCTGGAAGGCAGATGGTCTGGAGGGAAACCACCCTGCTTTAGCCTATCCCTGGAGGCCATTTTCTTCTCTGCGCTAATGCGTATTTTATTATTTATCTTATAGACTTTACGTGTGTATGTGTTTTGTCTGATGCAGGACAGAGCACCACAAGTATGCCCGGTGCCCACAGGAGCCAGGGCAGAGCAGGAATCCCATGAAATGGAGTTAATGGCTGGTTGTCAGTAGCCATGTGATTGCTGGGAATCGAACCGTGCGCCTTTGTACGAGCATCCAGTGCTAAACTGAGTCACAAAACCGGGATCAGCCAATTACCGCCCCTTTAGGCTCACAGAACTCAGGAGGCGAGAAAGCGGCCATGCCGGAAAGAGGTCACGCCAAGTGTCCGGAAGACCCCGCTGGGCTGGCCTCCTCCAACGTGGTGAGGACCGCGCCAGGCCTCAGGAACCCACAGCGCGCCGCCCGGCCCAGGCCCTCAGCCCCTCAGCCCGAGGCGACGGCGTCGACGTTCTCGCCGGGCGTGGCGCTTGCCCCTTTTGGCGGGCTCGGCGTCGCGAGGCCCCGCCCCCCCGCAGGTTTCTCCGCATTCGCGAAGGCGGGCTCTGCGTTCCCATTGGCGGAGCGGATCCGCCAAGGCTCCGCCCCCTCCCGGGCCCGACGCGAGCACGTTGGTGGCCGGGGCCGGTGGGGGAAGCCGCCCGGGTCGGGAGCGGCTCTCGGACGGGGGCGAACGGCGCGCTGGGGCCGCCTTGACGTTCGGGAGGCGTCTGTGCGGGCGAGCGCGGCCCCCGAGGGCGGGCAGGGGAGAATCCGGCGGCGGACGAGCCCCGCCGTCTTTTTCCCCCGCGCGCCCGTCGACCTTGTGGGCGGAAGCTTCCCGGAGCTGCTCACGCCCGCGCCATGGCGACTGCTGCCGAGACCGAGGCCTCTTCGACGGACGGGAGCTGGGGAAGCGGCAGCGGCGGAGACGACGAGATGAAGCCAGCGCTTCCGGAGCCGGAGTCCTCGCCACAAGATGGCGGCGGCGGCTTCTTCGCCGCCGCGGAGGTCGGCGGCGGCGCGGGGCCTGAGGAGACCGCCCGGAGCGACTGCCACGAGCAGCCTCAGCACGCTTCCGAGGCGGCCGCGGCCGCTGTCCCCAAAGGCGCCGAAGAGCCCGAAAGGCCCGTTAGGCGGAGTTTTCAGATCCCCAGGAAGAGCAGAGAAAAGAAAGGTGGTGCCTCCCCTCCTCCCTGATCCCCGACCCCCCTCTCTCTCTCTCTTCTCCCCCTTCATCTTCTCACTAGGATCTCTCTGTCTCCTCTCCCACACCCACCCGACACACGTAAACACGCACGCCGGTACGAGAGGCGAGGGTGCAAGCCCGCTCCGCCGCTCCCCCTCTCCCCGTGCAAGCTGGAAGGAGCTCAGGTTTGAAGCGCGTCCATAAGGCTGCAGCTCCCGGAGAGGGAAGACGGTGCTCGGCGCCCCTCCTTCCCGACCTCCCGAAGGCGGAGAAGCAGATGTGGCCTCCTAAAGATGCTTCTGAGAAGTCCGCTTGTGGAAGTAGCCGGTGACCGTGGATTCAGAGGCTCTCCCCAAGGCCATTGCATTCTGAGGACAAGTGTTTCTCATTGTGGAAATTCTTCAGCCCTGTGTCTACTTGAAGTGTGCTCAATGCCAGCGTTTTAGGAAATCTCCGTTAGGATATAAGCTCCATGCCCAGTTTTCCATCACACTTCATTTCCATATAGTGTTTTTTTTTTTAAAGGCTTAGATTATGGAGGGGTCTCATGTTTAACTCCAAACTTACTATGGCTTTTGTACTTGAAAAGGATGGGAAGGTAGGTTCTTGGTGCATTAATTGCCCGGTGGAGGAAAATGAGAAGTTCGAGTATGACCAAGAATCTCCAACTTCAGATTTCTACAAAGAATACTCTTAGTTTTTAAAATCAATATAGGAACAGGTACATTAGTTGTTTACTTTTTGAAATCTCAGTGCCATATTGTAAAACTTACAACACTTTTTTTTATTAGAGTAGGTTTTTGGAATTTTCTGGATTTGGTTTAAGTTTTCCCTTGCCTTACTTTGTGTGACAATTCTTTTTTTTTTTTAATGGCTTATTTCCCAAACCTGCGTTCTCCCCTCCCTTGTCTTTTTTCCATTTGGACCTAGGAAGATTTAGGCTTGAAACAGCGCGCACCTGGGTAACCAGCTCTATTTGCACAACTGATATTATAAAAATACAAAGAAAATTCCTTTCTTTTTAGATGACAAAGCCAAGGAAATAGCATGAGAAACGCAGAGGAGGAAGAAATTGACCTTTGCCTACCTAATTTGAGGAATGTTTCTAGAAATATTCTTAAATGAGGTAATATACTTAAGGATGTAGGGCAAGATAGTGAATTTTCTTGGTGTAGTGAAAGTGCATGGTTGTGTTAATCTGAGAAAAGTTGCACCCAATAGTCATTGGAATAGGTTGGAAGTTCTTTCATATAGGATCTGCTTATGAAAGTAGGTTTTTTTTTTTAACATTTTCAACCTATATCAAGCTTTCTTGACATCTTTAGATTTTAAATGACCAAGGATAAGAACAAACCACCTTAAAAACAGAACAGCAAAAAAAAACCCAAAAAAACCAATCGTTTTAGTTGGTTTTAGCCTTAGGATTTGGTTGAAGCATGGCAAGGTGGCATGTGTTTCTTAAATTGCATAAGCCAAATCCAGAAGTTGCTCTGCCTGCACTTGAAAATACTGAAAGTGGCATGGGGAATTAGGGAATATAAACCCTGCTGCTTTCACCGTGGAGTCTGATATATTCCTTAGGGGAAATGCTTCTATTTTCCATTTTGCTTAGGGATAGTTTTATGTTCATCTGTAAGGGAGGCTGTAGTTAAGAAGGCATGATAGACTTTTCATGTTTACTGAAAATAATTCTTAACATAATTGTACACCAGGCTGTAGTTGTTCAAATAGTATATGATAGGGCTAAATCAAAACTTTAAAAAAAAAAAAACCCAACCCCAAAATAGAGGTAGGTTCTTCTTAACTTGTTCAGGCCTTGAGTTTGAAATGCTCCTGCCTAAGCCTCCCTACTAGTGGTGATAGAGATGGAGAGCTTTCTACAACTATTTTACCATCTCGGATTTTATCCTAAATTGGAAGAAGTTAGTCTTGGAATTTCAAATTTTTAGTAGGAAAACATAGTTTATCACTTTAGAATGATTATAAGAGTGTTTCTTTTTCTTTTTGTTCTTCGTTTCGTGACCGGGTCTCTTATGTAGTCCTTGCCGGCCTGGAACTCAGACATGCTTGCCTCTGCCTCCCAGGTGCTGGGATTAAAGGCGAGCACCACCACACCCATGCCTGTTTCTTATTTTTTTCTTAACATCACATAATAGGTTTATAGTGAGCAATAAAAAACAAGTTGTTGGAAGAAAGGAAAAAGTAAACAGTATAGGTATTGGTTTCTTTCCAACATAGTTAACAGGAAGGTTTGAAAATTATGTTTGGTGTACTAGTGGTCGGTCATCTGACTTCCTAGATTAAAATTTTTTACAGATAGGTCCTGAAATTTTCAGCATCAAGTTTTGTTGCATTCATATTCTAGTAGACTTGACTGCTTTCTGGTGAAATTTAAAGTTAGGGTGTTAATTTTAAAAAAATCTTAAAAGTAAACACTACTAAGTATAATTTGTTGACTTTAAAGTTATAACAGAGACAGATCTTGCTGCACAGCCCGTCTGGCATCAAACAGCAGTTCTTTTGCCTCAAGTATCCTAAGTGCTATGATTTCATACCTATAGTGACTTGTCCAGCTCTGAAACATTTACTTGATCTTTCCTTGACCATAATAGTGTCTAAATACGGCCATTTTAGAGGTCTAATACTACTAGCAGGCAATATAATTGATAGCAACTTAATACTTGCTCTAAACTTTGAGTATAATAACATTCTCAAGAATTCTTTGTGGGCAGAGGCAGGCGGATCTCTGTGAGTTCGAGACCAGCCTGGTCTACAAGAGCTAGTTCCAGGACAGGCTCCAAAACCAGAGAAACCCTGTCTCGAAAAACCAAAAAAAAAAAAAAAAGAATTCTTTGTGGTAGGCATTATGTCCATTTTTTGGAAAAAACTGAAGTACTAAGAAATAACTTGTCAATTAGTAAATGGTGAAGATGGAATTTGAACATAATATGTGTAGACTATTTGGAACTTCTCTGTGTAGCGAAGTTATTCTTAATAGCCTAAATTTTATTTTTACTTATTTAGGGAGGCGGGGTTTATTTTGGCTCACAGTTTCAGAGAATAGTCCATCATGTCCTAACAGCAAAAGCCTGGTAGTTGATCACATTCGTACATCCACAGTCAGAGAAAGATGAGAATCCCCTTTACCCACCCCTCTTTGAGGCAGGAGCTCCCTGTGTTAGCTCAGGCTGGCCTCAAACTCACTTGATACTGCTATCTTAGCCTTTTTAGTGTTGAGTTTATGGTTTGTGTTGCTACCAATGGCATATAATCTAGAATTAAAGTTAGCGTTTGATCAGCTGTATGAGAAACCAATGAAATTAGAATAGCTTATATTCAACCTTAGGGAGAATTTGAGATTAAATACTGGGGGGTTGTATGTTCTGAAAAGTTTTTTTTTTATTTATTTTTTTCGAGACAGGGTTTCTCCGTAGCTTTTGGTTCCTGTCCTGTTCCTGCTCATGTAGACCAGGCTGGCCTCGAACTCACAGAGATCCGCCCGCCTCTGCCTCCCGAGTGCTGGGATTAAAGGTGCGCGCCACCACCGCCCGGCCTCTGAAAAGTTTTGTGTTTTAATTTTTCAGAGCAAATAGAGATTTATTAAATTGAGAACGCCCAAGAGGGGGAGGGAGTCCAAGGGATGACTACCTATAGTTTACTGATTTTGATGTGTGGTGTGTATTTATTGGTTGGGCTGTTTTCTGTAGTATAGAAGACCATGAGAATTGCATTGGCCTACATCTGCATTGCCATGTTTTATTCTACATTTAGTATGTCATCAAAAGTAAATTAAAATTAATAATTGAATTTGACAGTAACTCTCTCCAAAGTTCCTAGACTAGTGGTACAATTTCTAAAAAATGTTCATCTTTTGTAACAAAATTTGCAGTGACTATTTTTTTTTCTTTTAAAGACCAGGTTTTAATATAGCTGGATTTACTTCCTGCCTCCAACTCCCTATTTGCATGAATTGGACCTGGCTCTGTAGTTGTCTTTTTGAGTTGTGGTGTTTTAGTAGTTGGATATGGATAACTGGATTTTGAGAAGAATGATTTTCTTTACATAGAAGTAAACCTGAGCAAGAAATTTAATTTGCTGGCTTGTGTTGACTTACGCCAGTGAATTTGTAACTATGTTCATTGAACATTGATGTAGAAATGAAACACATTCTTAAAACATGAATAATTTTTTTTAGATAGAAAAGCCATTTACAAATCAGTTGTGGCCGGGTGGTGGTGGTGCACGCTTTTAATCTCAGCACTTGGGAGGCAGAGGCAGGTGCATCTTTGAGTTCGAGGTCAGCCTGGTCTACAAGAGCTAGTTCCAGGACAGGCACCAAAGCTGCAGAGAAACCTTGTCTCAAAAAACCCAAATAAAACAAAACCCAACCAAACCAAAAAAGAAAAAAAAAAAAAACCCAAATCGGTTGTGAACAAATGGGACACATTGTGTGATAGTAGTTAGGACCAGTAGAAACCTGCCTCAGGCTCATAATCACAGACCACCGTTGGTCACTAGTTGCCTTGCCGATATTTCCTTTTTTTCCATATAGCTCAGGCTGGCTTCCCCTTTTCTTTCTAGATAGGATTTCTCTCTGTGGCCCTGGCTATCCTGGAACTTGGCTCTGTAGACAGACCAGTTTGGCCTCAAACTCAAGAGATCTCTTATGCCTCCAAGTGCTAGAATTGAAGGTATGTACCACCACTGCTGGCAATTTTCAACTTTTTATTAGCATATATTATATACAATAATGGCTTATGGGTTTCATTATATTTTCATACATGTACATAATATCATAATCCCATTACCCTTTTTTGTGTCCCTTTAAACACTTTAAAAATTATATGTGTATTGATATTTTGTATGTCTGCACCATTTGTAGACTGGGTAAGATGCCTGTGCTATGAACAACCCTAAGCCTCTCAACCCCCCCCCCCCCATGTTGAGATGGGTGCTAGCTGGAAAGGGAATTAACAAGTGGAGGGGCT